GAGGGGAAGGGCAGAGAGAGGGAGAAACATGATCCTAAGCAGACTCCACACTGTCAGCACAGAGCCAGATGTGGTTTCTATCTCATGACCCATGAGACCATGACCTGAGCTAACACCGAGAGTTGGATGCTTAACCGACTGAACCACTCAGGTGCCCCATGAGTCTGGGTTTTGTTTGTTTGTTCATTTGTTTTGCTTCTTAGATTCCATATACAGGTGAAATCATATTTGTTTTCTGGTATTTGTTGCTGGTATTTGTTTCTCTGTCTGATGTATTTCACTTAGCACAATACCCTCTAGGTCCACCCATGTTGCAAATGGCAAGATACCGTTTTTTATGGCAGAATAATCTATCACTATATAAATATATATCACATATTTTTTGTATCCATTTATCTGTGGATGGACACTTGGGTTGCTTCCATCATCTGGGCATTATTTATATATCTTTTTGAGTTAGTGTTTTCATTTATTTGGATAAATATCCCTACTGGAATTACCAGATCATATGCTATTTCTATCTCTAATTTTTTTTGAGAAACCTCTATACTGTTCTCCACAGTGGTTGCATCCATTTACACTCCCACCAATAGTGTATGAGGGTTCCCTTTTCTCCACATCCTCACCAACACTTGATACTGCTTGTCATTTTGATACTAGCCATTCGGACTCGTGTGAGGTGATATCTTATTGTGGTTTTGATTTGCATTTCTCTGATAATTAGGGACATTCGGCATCTTTTCATGTGTCTGTTGGGTACCTGTGTGTGTTCTTTAGAAAAATCCCAGACAAAGCTGGAGATATCACAATCCTAGATTTCAAGATATACTACAAAGTCATAGTAACCAAAACAGTATGGTTCTGGCACAAAAATAGACACATAGATCAATAGAAAAGAATACAGAGCCAGAAACAAACTCATATTATTCATCTATGACAAATGCGGCAAGAATATATAATTGAGAAAAGACAGCCTTTTCATTAATGGTGCTGGGAAAACTGGATAGCTACATGCAAAAGAATGAGAGTGGACTACATTCTTTTACCAGCACAGAAATACACTCAAAATGGATTAGAAACCTAAATAGGAGATCTGACCATAAAAGTAAAAGAAACATAGGCAGTAATCTCTTGGACATCAGCCTTAGCAATGTAAGCTACACTGATATGACTCCTCAGACAAGGGAAGCAAAAGCAAAAATAAACTATTGGGACTACGCCAAAATAAAAAGCTTCTGCACAGTGACAGAAACCATCAACAAAACAAAAATGCAACCTAGTGAATCTGAGAAGATACTTGCGAATGATGTATTCAATAAGGGGTTAATATAAAAAATATATAAATAGCTTACACAACTCAATACCAAAAAAAAAAAAAAAAGACAATCTGATTAAAAAATTAGCAGAAGACCTGAATAGACATTTTTTCCCCATGGATATTTTAGTTGGAATTTGACAGCAGCTGTGGGAGAAACACTCATTTATTCACTCCTTTATTAATTTAGCAAACATTTATTGAGTACACTTATGCAGTTACCATGCTATGAGCTAGAAATGTGACTGGGAACAAAACAGACTAGTTCCTGCCCTTCTGGATCATGCTAGTGTGGTGTGCTACCAGATTAACACAGAGATCAGAAGAAAAAAAAATATTCCTGCTAGTATGGAACGAAAAAATCTTCAGCCTTTTTACACCAAAAGAAAAGGAATGTGGGAATTTGGTGAGTTTAAAACAAATCCAGTAACACAAAATAGTATGTATTACAGGATTTGGCAAAGAAGATTTTGGTGATCTTGAGACAAAGTTGGTCAGTTCAGTCATGTGGGGCACTTGGCAGGAGGTGATACAAATGGGCCGAGGAATACAATGCAGAGGTGAAGTGTGCCACAAGGTGTGCCATGAAGTGAAGTCTGAGCCATAAAAACACTTACACTTGATGCCATAGGATCTCTTTCCTTTCAGACTACCCAGAATGGAGAGTATTATTGTCAACCTGGGAATCACCTACTGAAGATGTTGTAGGCTCCACCAAATGAAAAGCCTGGATCCCCACCCAACCCCACAGAAGAGAGCAATTAAGGACAGCTCCCTAAATAAGAAATATGCATTGAAGTGTTACCTGTGTGAGAAATACAATTTTATTGGGTTATGCTACTGTTATTTCTGGGTTTTCTGGGCAAATGTTCTCTTCGTGTATAATGAACGAGCAAGTAAAGTAGCAGTAGACCCAATTATTATAAATGCTTTTTGAAAAAATATATGGCAAAAAATGGGAGGCACTTAGAGAGATAGTCCAAAGGAAAGAAAATCCAAATTGTTGTTTGTCTGAACAGGGAGATCTTGATCATATCTGGAAGCTGATGAGGTAGCAGGAAGAGCTTATAAAACAAGAAGAACATGTATACAATGGAGCACACGAGACAGGCAATGAACATGAGAATTCAGAATCAAGGTAACAATTACAGAAGATATTGTGGGAGTGTCCTAGAGCTGACACAAAACCTACTTTAAGATCTGGGGCAGAACACTGACCAGGAAAAGGACGCTTCTTCTTGGTGTATCCAGTCAGAAATTCAGAAATGGGCCATCAGTGCCACCTTAGGGGAAGATGGAAACCTGGGGCATCTGAGCTCATTTAGTGAGAGAAAAGAGCAGGGATACCAGGCCAGGAAACATGCCCAAGAGGACTCATTAACATCTTGTTTCCTGGACCAGCATTTCCAGGGGAGGCCATTTCAGCTGAGAAGGTAAGTCCCTGTGAATGTAGGAATGGAAGAAAGCAGAGGGGGGAGGGGTCATGGGAAAGGAGCCTTTCCCCAGAGACAGTGAGGCCAAGCACAGCAGGGTCTCCCTTGGGGAGCTCTTGCAATATCTACTTCTTCCAGATTCCTGCTGCTCTCATCCTTGCTCCCAGACCCTAGCAGGAGTAAATGGCAGTCTGAGCATCTGGACCCAAGAACTCAGCCTGACAACTTCTCCAGAGCTGGATGGGTTCTTGACCTAGGGAACTGAGTGACAGAAACAGTTTCTTCTAATTCTCTATGGGTGTGAGAGCAGGAAATCCATCACTGAAGTAAGAGCGCCACAGAAACTACCCAAGGACTGAACTAGCCCTCTGTCTCCACTGCATCTCCAGAGAAGACCTTTAGAAGAATAGAAGGACCAGAAGGGGCCCTGACAACTGTATTGGTCAGACTCCTCAGACTCTTAACCCAGCTTGGCAAAACTTCAACCAGTTGGACACTGCTGGAAAAGCCTCACCCTTTCCCCATTTCTACAGGAAAATCCTTCACCCTCAAACAACCCACAGGGCAGTTTGCACGTTTGGCCATCTGGGCTTCTCACTACCTGAGGTAAGGGCTTTGTCTCTCTGTCAGGGAAGTGTGCAGCCTCTAGGAATGCTGAGTTGAGAAACAGAGCCCCAAACAGACCCTAAGAACTTAAGCTACTCTGTCTTCCAGATTCTCTAGTGCTTTGGGGCCCGTACTTGATCCTAATGCCCTCTATTCTTGGTTTTCTAAACATGAAGAAAAATCAGTGAAAATGGTGAAGGAGTCTGTGCCACATCCCAGGCCAGGGTGTCTGCTTCCTGGTGGAAATACCAGTACCTATCTTTAGCACTCCTGGGCTTTCTGCCCTCTGCTCAGACATTTTTGCCCCTATCTGGTAAAAAATGTCTCCAAAGGGCCATCTAAGAGCAAATGATATGCCCGTCATATGCTCTAATAATACCTTTGTGCCATTAAAATCCTGTGGACCCAGAAGAGACCCGTAGGGGAACCAGTGAAATGTCTAAATATAGAAGCCACAGTATAGGGGAAAGATTTAGAGAAACATACTTCTCTTACAGATTCTTTAACACATGTTCAGAATTGGATTTATCTGCCTAGTTCCCATGATGCATGGCATCGATACCTGTCAATCCCAAGTCCCTGTCTCTTCTGACTTTTCTGGGGTGGGATACCACATTCCAAACGTGGCTTTCCAGAACAGGAGTTCATCCTCCCTATCCCCACGACCCTTCAATCCAGTGGAGATACTCTGGTCCTGCAAGAAGGAGAGTGGGGATCTGGGTCGGGTGCACAAGAGGGAAGATAGGATTAATGAGCCTGATTACAGCATACAGCACATGCTCTTTTGTTGACGGCACCTTTCACCGTTTCCTCCGAACACAAACACTCTGATATTCCTGGGCAGAGCCTCATCCATTATCAGATTTTTGAGTTTTCCCAGGCTCACATGTTGTCATAGCCTGTAAAGAAACACCTATGTCCTTTCATCCAAAAGGTTGAGCTCCTAAAACCAACACCATGTCAAACACATCACCCCTTAGTCTGAGACAGTCTAGAATTCCTTCTCTCTCAGGCACATGGAGAGTGTGGAGCTGGCCCAGAGAGGTGACTAAGGTGGACGTACTTAACTCTTTCATGATGCTTCCATCTACAACCTTTAATTCTGCAAACATATGCAGTCATAAGTTATGGAAAATGAAGTGGAAGTGTTTTATTGAAATCACATTTCTGTACCTGCTTTAGAGTTTTATATTCAGAAGAGGTCTGTTAGAATACTAACTGGGCATGTAAATCAGTCATCAAACATTATACTTAAACCTAGGTACAAAAATAATCAAGGGCTTATGTATTAGAATATTACTTTCTGGTACATAAGCTACCTTTAAGAGAGGGATAATTTAATCATTCTGGAAAGATACTTCTCCAGGTTTGGTGTCCTGAATAATACTTTCATATATTGACCTCTCAATGTTTAGTTATTACTATGATGCCTGCTCTCCATTTAGATGGTTCTTTCATCAATATGCAATTAAAAGTGTCAGAAACGGAGAGATCAAGAGTTAACGTCAGAGTCCAATAGGAAAGGCAACACCTCATTGTATTCATGATACCTCACAATTCCATGTCCCTGTCTCTTCTGACTTTTCTGGGCTTGGGTACAACGCTCCAAATGTGGCTTTTCCAAATGGGAGTTGGATTCAATTAGAGTCCTGTGATGTTACAAACTAGGGACCACGTTTGCAAAAATTCACCGAGAATGTGTTTGGTTCTAGGCAACTAAAGAAACAATACAGAATGGAGTACTGGAACTCCACCCTGGGCAGTGGCTTTATATTGATGGGGATTCTGAAAGACAGTGGGTCTCCTGAACTGCTCTGTGTCATAATCACAGTCCTGTACATGTTGGCCCTGACCAGCAATGGCCTGCTGCTCTTGGTCATCACAGTGGATTCCCGGCTCCACGTGCCCATGTACTTCCTGCTCGGGCAGCTCTCACTCATGGACCTCCTCTTCACATCTGTTGTCACTCCCAAGGCGCTCATGGATTTTCTGCGCAGTGAAAACACCATCTCCTTTGCGGGCTGTGCCCTTCAGATGTTTCTGGCATTGATGCTGGGTGGTGCAGAGGACCTGCTACTGGCCTTCATGGCCTATGATAGATATGTGGCCATTTGTCATCCTCTGAACTACATGGTCTTCATGAGGCCAAGGGTCTGCTGGCTCATGGTGGCCACAGCATGGATACTGGCATCCTTAAGTGCCATTGTTTATACCATGTATACCATGCAGTATCCCTTCTGCAAAGCCCGGAACATCAGGCACCTGCTCTGTGAGATTCCACCTTTGCTGAAGTTGGCCTGTGCAGATACCTCTAGATATGAACTGTTTGTGTATGTGATGGGTGTGACCTTCCTGATGCCCCCTCTCCTTGCAATCATTTCTTCCTATGCACTAATCCTGTTTACTGTGCTTCACATGCCCTCAAATGAGGGGAGGCAGAAAGCCCTAGTCACCTGCTCTTCCCATCTGACCGTGGTTGGGATGTTCTATGGAGCTGCCACATTCATGTATGTCCTGCCCAGTTCCCTCCACAGCCCCAAGCAAGACAACATCACCTCTGTTTTCTACACGGTTGTCACTCCAGCCCTGAACCCCCTTATCTACAGCTTGAGGAATAAGGAAGTCATGGGGGCTTTGAAGAGAGTGCTGGGAAAATACATGCTGTAGACACATTCTACCCTCTAGGGAGAGCTTATGGCTAGCCCTCAAAATTTATTCCTCTTTGAAGTCAGAAGAAATCTGCTAATACTCATGGTGAAAACACTATAACTCAGAGTGTATCTTTTAATAGAAAAATGAAGAAGTGTGACCTGACTTCTGAAATGATTTTGTGTGTCTGTATTTTTACCATTTTACTTTATTTTATTTTTTCGACTACAGTTGACATAGAATGTTACATTAGTTAGGTGTGCAACATAGTGACCTGACAAGTCTATACTTTATGCTGTGTTCACCACAAATGTAGCTACCATCTGTTACCATACAGCACCATTACAATATCATGGACTGTATTCCCTTTCATCCCCACTGTACCTTTTATCCTGGTGATGTATTCATTCCCAACTGGAAGCTTGTATCTCCCACTCCTCTTGACCCATTTTCACCATCCTTCCATCTGTTCTGGCAACCACCAGTTTATTCTCTGTATCCATGGTCTATTTCTGTTGTTTCTTTGTGTGTTCTTTTGTTTTGTTTTCATTCCATGTATAAGTGAAATCATATGGGATTTGTTTTTTTCTTCCTGACTTATTTTACTTAGCATAATACTCTCAAGGTTCATCCATGTTATCACAAATGGCAAGATTTCATTCTTTTTTTATGGCTGATTAATATTCCACTGTATGTGCGTGTGTGTGTGTGTGTGTGTGTGTGTGTGTGTGTGTAACATCTTTATCCATTCATCTATCAACAGGCATGTGGGTTGCCCCTCCCCCATGGGTTTCTGTTAAGTTTCTCAGGATCCACATAAGAGTGAAAATATATGGTATCTGTCTTTCTCTATATGGCTTATTTCACCTAGCATCACACTCTCCAGTTCCATCCACGTTGCTACAAAGGGCCATATTTCGTTCTTTCTCATTGCCCTGTAGTACTCCATTGTGTATATAAACCACAATTTCTTTATCCATTCATCAGTTGATGGACATTTAGGCTCTTTCCATAATTTGGCTATTGTTGAGAGTGCTGCTTCATATGATATTTCTATTTTGATTTTTTGAGGAATCTCCATACCGTTTCTACAGTGGCTGCACCAATTTATATTCCCACCAGCATTGCACAAAGGTTTCTTTTCCTCACATCCTTGCCAATACTTACTTTTTGTCTTTTTTATTCTAGCATTTTGATGGATTCAAGGTGATATCTCATTATCAAATGCTCTTTTAAGTCTTTCTTCCATCAAGCAATTTATAAGAAATGATCTGCATTCTATTTAAAATTTGCCTACTGTCCCATTTAGCTACCAAGTTGAATGAGACAAGGGACTTTTACCAATTTTGGACATGACCTCTGACTTGAAAGTCCATATTGGACCAACGTATGAACCAAAGAAAAGAAAGTTTCAAGAAAAGAAAGTTTCAAGTTTCAAGGGCCTAAGCAAGGCCCATATCAAGGGAGTAGACCTTGAGATCTGCACAAATTTTAGACACCTGACCTTGTTACAAGAGCATGTAGGCAACCTAATTAATGCCCAAACTGGTAGTAGTTTGTATGTATTTGTATCATGTTCTAACTTCCTTTTTCCAAACAGTCATTACGGAAACTGACCCACCTGGACCCTCCAACAGGTGTTTTTGTTTGACTTTGTTTTTGATGTGGAAATTTTTTATACTGCATAAAATCCAAATATGGCTGAAACGAACAAAATAGAAAGGACATCTCATTAGCAAGGTCCATTGGAAACAATGCTTACTCCTTGGCAGTAAGCAGAACAGACAAACAAACAACTGGTTGCAGTCTTGAAATGGAGCTAAATTGCAGAGGGTTCATATGCTTAATATGTGTGGATGTGTGAGTCTGTGGATGTGTATTTGTGCTGAAAAGGAGAGGACAACATATCAATTAATATTCTAGTGGCTTAAATATGCTGTACTACTGCCATTTGTTTGTAAGCCTGGAAATACTTAAACAAAATCTGCAGGTTGTTTTGAAGCTTCAAAATAACATGATTCATCCAAGTGGCACTATTTTGGGGAATATTGCTCTTTTTGGAAATTTGCTAATGCTTTCTCTTTAAAAAATAATAAAAAGTTATTAAAAATTAATAACAGCACTTTCATCTGTAAAACTAAGGACTTTTAAAAAATTAATAAAATTAGGGATACTAAAAACAGGCAAAAACCATCTAAAATCTTACCCAGAGATAACCTCCACACTTTTAGATACATTTTCTTTCATTTTGAAGGCAGGCATGCATTTCACTGAGTTTATATGTGCACATAAAGTAGAGATTTTTTCATTTATTAATACATAGTGAATTTTTCCCCTACATTTTTTGGCAGCTGTAAAGAGCAGTGACAAAGAGGCTGGGGTCAGTTGTCAGAGTACCGAGGTTCAAATTCAGTATGCCCCCACTAACATAACATTGAGCATGTTTCTTAACCTCTCTGTACCTATCTGCAAATCTCTAAGCTGTATATTGGCAGTAATAGTAAGACCTACTTCATAGTCATTTGAGGATTAAAGAAGTTAGTAAACATAAATGTAAGACATTTAGAATAACACCTGGCATAAAATGAGTATTTAATAAATCTTAACTCTTCTGTGAATAAGTAGACTTGAAAATATTTTTATGTAATGACATAACATTACATCATATGGATGATTTGTAATAAAATTGGCTATTTCATCATTGATATACATCTAGTGTGTGTGTGTAAAAATAGCAATGTTGACCTCTGAGTCAACATTGTGTGTGTGTAAAAATAGCAATGTTGACCTCTGAGTCAACAGTGATTGATTTTTTTCCATCAGAATAAATTCTTGTGAGTGGAATTACTAAAACCAAAGTCAAAATCTATTTAATATTCTTGATATAGAAAGATGAATTAATTTTTTACATATTAAACATTCTGCATTTTTACCAGCAACATATAAGTATACTTAACTCATTTTCATATTGAGTTGAACAGTTTTTATTAATTTACTAGGTATAAATTTAAATATATTACTTTAGTTTGCATAATAGATAAATTTATATTTTTCTTTTTGAGTTTTTGGAGTTCTTTACAGATTAGGGACACTGATAATTTGTTACGTTTGTGGTAATAACTTTTTATTTTTCAAACTTGTGTTATTTTTCAAATACCTGCATGGTAAGGATTTGTAGACACAGAAGTACTGAAAATATTTGTGTAGTGAAATCTATCCATCTTTTTCTTTTCTGTTTTCTTTAAGTAATTTTACTGCTAGGATGTAATTTTCTACTCTCTCTTTAGGTAACAATTTATATATTTTATTTTTTCTTCATAATTTTATAATTTGTATTTAACTTTTAGAATAAGTTTCTAATTTATCTTGATATGGTGAGGTTTTAACTTTTTTCAAAGTTGTCATTTTCTTTTTTTGTAATGTTTATGTATTTTTGAGAGAGAGAGAGAGAGAAAGAGAGAGAGAGGGTAGAGAGGGGCAGAGAGAGAGGGAGACACAGAATCCAAAGCAGGCTGCAGGCTCTGAGCGGTCAGCACAGAGCCTGACGCAGGGCTCGAACTCACAAGCCCTGAGACCATGACCTGAGCTGAAGTCAGACGCTCAACAAACTGAGCCACCCAGGTGCCCCCAAAGTTGCCCTTTTCTTTACAATAATTCTTTTCCATGAATTTATTTTTTAAATCATGTATTATGTCTCATAAACATAGTATTAAGGTACATTTCTTGGCTATCTGTTCAGTTCTAGCTTCTTTCTCTCCTTACTCTTTCTAAGGATATTTGATTCTGTCATCTACACCTCAAAAACCCATTGGTAATTTGATCATGAATATATTCAACTGGTAAAGTAACTTGTAATTTAGGATTTTTTGCAGTACTCAGCTATGCCTTCCAGAACATAGTATATACTACTCCACCTTCTGAACTCAATCTTCTTTCCTTTCTGAAAATGACTCTTTCACACCTCAGTCTCAGCTGATTATCTTACCCCATATGTACTTAACTTGGAATAGAATGTGGAGTGTGGGGTAAGAAAGAGAAGAGAAATAAGAAAGGCCAGCCCCTTATCTTTTTCTCTTCAAACCTCCCACCCACGTGTATGTACCTGTATGTTCATGTTTGGTTTCCCCCTTTACAACTATCTATTAAAGGCTGACCCCTTCACTAGTATTTCACCTACCAAAGATTTTGTTCCTGCAGAGTCTCTTTAATCTTAAACCATTTTCTTCTTCTCTTCTGGATCATAATCACAGGGATACAAGTATGCTCTGATTATCCCATCATAAAGAACGCCTTCTGATCGCCAAGTAATATTCCATTGTGTATATATATATGTACATTTACCACATCTTTCTTATACATTCATATGTGGATGGACATTGGGGCTTTTTCCATAATTTGGCTATTGTCGATAGTGCTGCTATAAACACTGGGGTGCATGTGCCCATTTGAATGAGCATTTTTTTATCCTTTGGATGAGTACCTAGTAGTGAAATTACTGGGTTGTAGGGTAGTTCTATTTTTAATTTTTTTGAGGAACCTCCACACTGTTTTCCAGAGTAGCTGAACCAGTTTGCATTCCCACTAATGGTGTAAGAGGGTTCCCCATTCTCTGCATCCTTGCCAACATCTCTTGTTTCCTGAGATGTTAATTTTGGCAATTCTGACAAGCGGGAGGTGGTATCTCATTGGGGTTTTGATTTGTATTTTCCTGATGATGAGTGATGTTGAGCATCTTTTCATGTGCCTGTTAGCCATCTGTATGTCTTCTTTGGGGGCACCTGTATGGCTCAGTCAGTTAAGTGTCTCACTCTTGGTTTCATCTTAGGTCATGATCTCACGGCTTTGTGGGTTCAAACCCTACATCAGGCTCCGTGCTGGCAGTGTAGACCCTGCTTGGGATTCTCTCTCTCTCTCCCTCTCTCTCTTCCCTTCCCCCACTTACACTGTCTCTGTCTTTCTCAAAATAAATAAACTTTAAAGAAAAAAAACCCTTGTATGTCTTCTTTGGAAAAATGTCT